TCTACCATTGTTCTCAAAAGTATTTTATTTTTTGTCTTCTGATTATCAGTAACCCGAATTTCTTTTTTAGCTTTCACCAAGGACTCAGATTTTTGGTTAAACAATAGTGATGGATAGTTTTTCTCTAGCTGTTGGTGCAGCTTCTGCACTATTTATACTTCTTTGCATGTTGAACAATGTAAATGGAAAGTTGATCAATGATTTAAACCAGTTGGGAACCAACGGCTGTGATCTCTTCTAAGGAAAATGGGTTTATGATGATTACTACCCTCTTTATGATTCATCGGTGTGTCCATTCATTGAAAAGCAGTTTGATTGCTTAAAGAATGGAAGGCCAGATAAGGATTATCTCAAATATAGATGGCAACCCACTGGGTGCAATTTATCTAGGTACTTTCTTGAATGTGTAAAGTTAGTCTCTATAAGTAAGTCACAGCTTGTAGCCGTGGAAGCATCCACTAATATTTGCATGCAATAGGGTAGGCTGTTTACATCACACCCTTTGGGTGCGACTCTTCCCTAGATCATGCGGGATGCTTTTGCACCAGACTACCCCTTTCTTTTTCTCTCTTGAATCTATATTTTTTTAAAATTAACATTGGCTGTTTTATCTTTTACCTTCTGTCTTTTTGTTAATTTACTTAGCTGTATATGTTGTGTTTTGTAGGTTTAATGCGACAAAATTTCAACTCAAATTGAAGGGCAAGCGGTTGATGTTTGTAGGAGATTCACTAAGCCTTGATCAATGGCAATCTCTCACTTGTATGCTACATGCAGCCGATCCACAAGCTGAGTATACTTCCAAAAGGATAGGAGAAACTTCAATCTTCACATTTCCAATATGTTTTTCCTACGAATGTCAAATTTAACTCATTTAAAATCTTGAGCCAATACGGACTGCACGCACATATAGAATTGACCGATAAGATAACTTATCAAAACATACTCTAATAAGTGGTCTTTTTTTTGGCGTTTGACTTGTTTAATATGTCATGATAAATAAAGAAAAAAATCTCTTATCAATTTTCATTCGGTATATAACAAAGTATAAATGAACAAGCAAATAAATAAAAAATGACATGAGTTGAATGGGTTGAGTTACAATTAATAGTTTTGCCCCGATTGACCGGCCGGCTCATCCTAACCCAAGCAAACATTGAGCAAGTTATAATTTATACCTGTTTTAACCTGTTCAAATGTAGTTCAATCCGTCTATTCGGCATCCCTAACTTTTTCATCTCTAATTCATTGTCAATAAAGAGTTGTGTTGATAGCTAATTTACTCTCTAAAATATTACAGGGATCTAGATTAGAATATTAATCAAGTTATTTAATTTGCAAGTACCTTATGTTTGATTCTTGAATACATGCATTGCCAAAATGCAGAAATACAACACCTCGTACTTAATACTTCGAGATATTTTCCTAGTAGACATTATTACAAAAAATAACGGGACACGAGTGTTAATGCTGGATTCTTTCAGTAGTGCTGCTCAATGGAAAGAAATGGATGTCCTTATATTTGATTCTTGACATTGATGGCTTCATACTGGCAGAAAACAAGCGTAAGTACTCTTCAATCAGTTTTCCATATTTCTACCTTAATTATAGAGTATAGATTTTGTTCACTATCCAGGGGAGACTTGGAGCAACGACTGAATTGTCTCTGTATGGTCTATAAGTCACGGGTTTGAGCAAAGGAATCAGCCACTAATCTTTTATCTGTGTAGACTACCTACATCACACCCCTTGGAATGCGGCCGCTCCTCGAACCCTGCATAAATGCGGGATGTTTTTTGCATCCGGCTCCCCTTTTTTGATCTTTTGCACTATCACTTAATTTTAACATGTATACAAGTTATTAGATAATGTTTGTCATATAAATTTACCTGTAATTATCTTATAAGAGACTTGAATTTATTAAATATTCTTTACATCGTCAATACATCAAATTTACTTTCATTAATTGATGGAATTTTAAGTTTGGTCATATTATTATGGTTGCTTTTGCAGTTGGGATCTTGTTCAAGATGGCAACTCTACATGCAAAAACGCACCCCGGTTAATCTTATACGAGAAAGCACTAAATACCTGGGCAAAATGGGTGGATTCAGAAGTTGATACAACAAAAACTAAAATATTTTTTCAAGGAGTTTCTCCTGACCATGACAAGTGAGTTTAAGACAATTTTTCTACTTGGCACGGAAAACATACTATAAAATGCAAATTTAAGTTTTATGTACTGACAATATGATATTTGCCTATAATATCAGTTGTGCCAGAGTAACGCAACCATTGAAGAGTACACAAGGAACTCATCCAGGAGAATTGATACTAGAGAAGGATTTGAGAGGGATGAGTAAACCAGTTCATTTATTGAACGTAACAACATTGTCACAGTACAGAGCAGACAGACATCTCTACTAAGGTTATGTTCCAAATTCTTTTGAAAACTAGTTTTTCTTTTGAAAAAAATATGTATTAAAAATAGAAAGCATTTCTTTTTCTTAGAACTAATATAATACCGAGATAAGTAATTAAAATGAAGAGCTAATTATAGAAGAATTAATCTAAATAGCCATTCATTCAATATCTTAAGTTTAAAATAGCCGGCATATATATATATATATATATATATATATAAATCATGTATAATATATGTATAAATATTTAATCTGTATATAATCGATGCATTTCGACAAGAAAAAGTAAGGTCAATCCAACTGGTTATTTATGTAAGATCCCTTAATTATGCAAGTCCATCTTTACCTTTAATTCCACCAAAGATCCTTTTTACTAATTATGAGCTGACTCCCAAGTCCAACTCGAAATATTAAAAAAATAGAATCTTAGAGAACTGTCCAAAATAAGTTCAAACATATTAACATTTAATCATTAATCACAAACTTATCAAAACTAGCCTGGTGCATATAAATTGAAAACCTCAGATAAATAATGATTCTTTTTACAAGCAAAGATCTCATTCCATATTTTTAAGCATGATCGGCAATATAATATGCAAGAACGGAAAGAAAATTTTATGGATGAGATTGCAAACAAAGTGATGAAATACAAAAAATATATACATACAAACAACATTCCAAAAACCTAAGCAAAAAAAGGAATAGTTTTCAATAATTATGGTTGAAATTCATTGAAAACATATAAGTGAGTCAATATACAAAGTTTGAGGAAGATTGGAGGTGATTTGGACTAGTTTTGAGTCAAAATTCGTAGTTGAAAGCGAGTTTAAAATTTTCTCAAAGACTTGAATCAAACATGTATCTCGCATGTCAGTATATATGGATATACATAAGATACACAAAAGATACACATGAGATACACAGTGAGATACACATATCATCTTCTTTCATGTTCATCTTGTGTACTTTGAATTTCGCTCAAATTTCAATTCAAACCACCTAAAATCTCCACCAAATCGTTTTAAAATTGAGATTCACACTCCTTAAAATGTACCCAATTTATTCTGACAACACCCACCCGAAATAAATTCTAATTTTAAAAATCCAAAATTTTGAATTCAAGCTTAAGCAAGCTTCAATGGCTGTCCATGATATCCTTAGTTTAATCCTTCGAACAAATCCAACAAACTAACATTTAGTATTGATTTTTAAGTCGAATTAAGTTGTTCGATTCTCTGAATAACTTAAAAAAATTATAATATTATAATATTGTCCAAGTCCATCGTCTCAAAAGGTTTGAACTGTTTTCTGCTTTAGCAAAATAGATATATGTTACAAAATTACATATGGTTTATTTGCGGTAAATTTTTATTTTGGATTAGTTTTGGTTGAAAATCTTTATGGATCGACAAGTTGAATAATTTTCCCTTAGGCACCAAAAAAAGGATAAAACTTTATGCAGAAAAAAGGGGGTAACCCACAAAAGAAAAGGTTGTTACTTCTTAATGCATTTCATATCCAAAAGATTAAAATTCTCATTGATGTTGACAAAAGCCCATGTCAAAGTTATTCGAGAAACGCTCAAGAATCGGAAAAAAGTCCTAAAATGCCCCTTTAATATGTGAAATAGGACACACTAGCCTTTCGTTTTTAAAAATCTAAAACAATATATCCCCTAATTAAAAAAGCCACTTGGATTTAAAAAATATCCCCACTCCTCTTTTTTTTCCATACCGCACCCCTGCCTCACCCCCCAAACAGGAGCTCCATCTCTCTCTCTCTCTCTTTAATTCTTCTCGCCGGCCAACCGCCGGATTTGACCACTGGTGTGTCTGGTCGGTCAATCATGGCTACTCCTCTATCTTTCCCTTCTCACTCGTTCTTATGGATAATAATATTGGAGATCGACAGTGAATCGGCGACCTCAGATTTGGCCTAAAACATCTCTCCAGCATGCTTTACTTTTCTTTAACTTCTTTTGTATTTTATCTACTTTTGCTTGCTAGATCTAATGGAAAACAAACAAGAAAAGGTTGTCAGTATTTTTGCCGAAATCTTGCTGGAAAAAATATTGGCGGCCGTTTGCCTTGCTTCTTTAGCAATGCTATTCCGGCGCTCATCGTCATTAGAGTAGCGTCCCAGGCTAACCATTTTCAGACCTTCTCCCATCTCTTGATGTCATCACTGTTTTGGCTTTACTGTTCAATATTGCTTTGCTTTATGACCCATTTTGGTTTATAGATTTGTGTGGGTTTCACGACCGTTTGTGTGTAATATTTTAATGTTGTTCTATTGCTTTTTGCCGTGGTAGAAATGCCGTCTTCGGACGTTAACTATGGCTATAAATTCGGGTGCATGACTTTCTTTGAATATATAATCGAATTTTGGATTATTGGTGACATTAGTTGGTCGGATAATTTCGGCGACTCCGTTCGTTTTAGCCACTATCCCATGGCCGATATTTGAATGGTTCAGATAATTTCAAGAAACCCCATTTTTAAATATTGTTCTTCAGTTGAAATCCAGGTTCTTTGAATGGCTGGCGGACTTTGCTTTCTTTCTTTCTTAGTGTTGTTATCCAGCAAGATTTTGGGTGGGGAAGGGATACGGTAGGAAAAAAAAGAAGGGGTGGAGATATTTTTTAAATCTAAATGGCTTTTTAATTAGGGGATACATGGTTTTAGATTTTTAAAATGTTAGTCAAACTATAATGCTATAATATAAAGAAATAGTAATTCTGTAACAATAAAAACAGAAACAGGAAAAATGATAGTATAGAAGAAATGTATAGATATAATCAAAAGCAGAATCTGAAAATATATTTCGGAAAAAATCGAGCCCACTGAATGCACAGTGTGTCCTTAAGAAAATTATTCCCCTCATGTACCCGAGATTTTGAAATACTATCCTCCCAGGATAGAACGACTTAACTCACTAGTGTATTGATACCAAAAGCTCTGATGAACTTCGAACCACTTAATGGTTGTAAAACACACTGAATTTTTTTGTGCAGAATAAGAAGAAAAAGCTCAGAAATTTTTGTAAGGAAAGATTTTGGGATCAAGTCATATTTATAGCTATTTTTTGGCACTATTTCTGAAAAGGTTTGCAACCTTTCAGAAACAGGCATGGCTGTTGGAACGGGTGGGAACATATCCCGTTTGAAATATTTCAGAAAAATAAATTTAAAATAATCCGGGAAAGAAATGGACCAGGTCGCATCGCGGGTCTTGGGTTATTCTGGGTTGAATTTTTGTTAATTAATAAATTATTAAAAGAATTTTGTCCAAAAAGATTATTCAATCAATCGATCTTTGACCAAATCCGAAGCCGAGCCGAGCGAGCGACGGCGAGATGCTTATTGTCTTTCCAACCTATTTAACACCAAGAGAAGTGCTTTATCAATATAAGCACATTTACTTTTTGTCACGACCCCGATTCGCCCTCCGTGAACCATCGTGACGGCACCTAGTCTCTACGACTAGGTAAACTTAATTTGTGGAATAAAATCCAAAATTTGCGGAGATTAAAAATTTAAAACGGAAATAAAGTAATAATAGTATTTAAATGTGCCGCTCGGCATACACCATGTTTAACTCTCAATACCAAACATAAATCCAAGACCCGAAAACCTAATCACAAGCTAAGATCAATGCTACATAGCTCTAACTCCGGAATGTCTAATAAGAACAGAAAAATACAGAAGGGCTAACTACTAAAAGCAGGAATAGAAAGGGACTTCTCGGTCTGCGGACGCGGCAGATGTATCTCAAAGTCTTTAGAGCAGTCGCCTCCTCAATGATGATAGGCCTGAGTGTAAGCACGTGATTTTTGCTTTACGAGCAATCGCTCCAAAAGATAATAAAAATAGTGACAAATGATTTCGCTGTACAATTGTTCGAGTTTTTCGTGACATGTGTTGTTAGTCATTTGTGGATCTGTCCATTTTACATTTAATCATTAACAAACAAAATACAAAAATATGCATGTCAGGGTGATTAAACCATAATTCGGTCAGTAAAAGAAAATTCAAAAAATATATGTGCATCGTTCGTTCTAGGCTTTTAGTTAACTTACCGAAATATTTTTTGTGATAATTGTGTTAAAATGTTGCATTGTTGTTGGTTTTACTTTCATTATTTTATTATTTGTTATTTCATTTTTTGTTTTAAAAGAAAATAAAATAGAAAACAAAAAGAGGGATTGAAAATCGGGTTAGGCCCAGGAAATAAAACAAAAGATGGGCCCAAATCAGCACAAGTCCGGTCCAGACCAGGCCTGCCCAGGCAACTCCCGAAACGACGTCGTTTCAGGGACGGTTAATCTGAGCCGTTCATTTCCATTGATCCGATGGCCTTTATTGGCCCTCATGACCCGACCCAGTCCCATTTTTGACCGACCCCTTGCTTAACCAAACGGCACCGTATGGTCAAGCCTCCCCAATCCTGGCCATCAATTTTAATCAATCCAACGGCCAGGATTGAATCAGCCTCCCCGTATATAAACTCAACCCTTCACCCCACGCCC